AATACATATTTCATTCTAATACCATGGTAGCACATCTGTCATGCATCATGCATTACATGTATTTTGTTTAAACCTACTCATAGTGACATATTAGAGGTATTTCCAACCAAGCTTCGATCCTTAGCACCCTAATAATCATCTAGCTTGCCAATGAGTTGATCTAACTTCGTTTCCCCCTTCAAATACATTAGAACATGAAAATATTAATTTTCCCTAGCTTTCAAAAAATGCTAGTTTTTCCACAATTACCCAAATCTTAGCAATCCAACTATTTAAGCTCAAATTCTATATTAAAAAGCCAAACCCATACCTTAGAAGCTGGATTATATGAGTCTTAGCTCCAAATTCTCTAATCCAAGCCAAAGAGGAAAAATTACTAAATTTGGAGAAATTTGAATTTTGAAGTATTAATCGATTAAATTGAAAATAATCAGTAAAAACATTAAATCTTACCTCTAGGATAGTTTTTTAAGCTCCAAATAGCCTTAAATGGCTCTAGAAATTAATTTAGGGGTTAGGGTTTTGAGTTTCTAGAGAAAGAAAGGGAGTAAAGGAGTTTAGAGAAAGGTGAGGCGGAAATGGCTCAAAACCCTTTTTATTTGTCTTTTGTTTGTGATGTATCAATACATTTGGCAATGTATTGATAAATTTGCCTTAATTTTGAATTAATGTATTGATACATTTTGGACAAAATGGTCTTGGGTACTTTCTGCTTCAAATGTATCAATACATTGAGGTAATGTATCGATACATGTTAATCTTTTGCTGATGATACTATTGATGTGTCTGTTTCTGTTGAGGATTCGATTAGGATTTCATTTAATTTTTGTTCAATTTCTTCTTGCAAATGAAGTTGATTTATTTTTCGTTTTATTTTGCAATATTTAGATATGTGTCCCATTTTTCCACATTTGAAGCATTTTATTGTTTTATCTATTTGTTTTGGTTCTTTATTCCTCTTTTTTAATTTTCGATATTCTTTATATTTTGGTGTTTTATAATACTCTTGGTAATTTTTCTTATGTTTTCTTTGTTTCTGTTTTAGAGGTTTGGATGAGCAGCAATTTTTTGATTGAAAAGGGCTGACCCTGTTTGAATCAAAATGTTTTGATAATAGTTTTGAGATTTTTGCAAATCCCATGGTTTGTAATGCCATCCTTGGAAGGCTTTTCTGATAGCAATATGGGGAAGTTCTTGGTATAATGGCAGCTTGTTTCATTGGTGTGTCTTGCTCTGTTTGGGATGTTATGTATCGATAGAATTTCTTCATAACGTTTCATATTTTTTTTCTCGCCAAGAATGTATCGATACATTTTCTCTTGTAGGCAGTTTTAAACTTCCAAAACTTTCCAAAAATCCAAGTTTAACACCCCAAAATCATTCCTTGTAAATATCATACCACAAATCATTCATTTAACTTAATCCCATACACATAATCTTTCAAACATAATATCAAACTTAGATTAAAACCTCAAAATATGAGATTTATCACATATTTCCTCAAAATTTGCCTAAGTGTCCATTGATCTTTATATATATATATATATATATATATATATATATATATATATCCTCAAACGCTTGGCAAACATAGCATATTGTCCAAAGTCCTCAAGACTTCACATATTCATAAATCATCTTTAGTTTACTTAATTTACATTGAAAATTGGAGGTATTACAGTAATTTATCTCTTAACACATTAAGGACATGTAGATAACAAATGCACTCAAAAATATGTAAGTGACTTATAGATGGCTTTCTTTCAAACCAAGCTTTATATGGAGTCACAATTCTTAAAGCTTTTGTGGGGAGAATGTTCAGCAAATATATAGCCATATTGGCTGCTTTTGCCCAAAAACTCTTTAGTAGCTCTTTTTCAAATAATAGACATGTGGTCATCTTTATTATGGTTCTGTTTTTTCTTTCACTAACTTTTTTCTATTGAGGAGTTTAAAGAGTTATGAGTTGAAGTTGAATCCCTTCCTTCTTGAGATATTAAGAGAACTCTAAAGACTTATACTCATCACCATTGCCGGATCTTAGAGTTTTAATTTTTCTCCCAAATTCTTGTTCAACTCTGGTTTTGAACTTTAGAAAGAGATTAGACACTTTGGATTTATGTTTCATAAAATAAATCCAACATATTTTAGAAGCATCATCAATGAAGATTAGGAAGAACTTGCTTCCATTTAGAGATTCTTTAGTCATATGGCCTTCCGCTTCAATGTTTACTAGTTCAAGCTTCTTAGATGCTCTACTTGAACATGTAGATGGAAAGGGCTTCCTTGTAGATTTTTCAAATTGACATATACTACAAACTTGGTTTGATTTAGTTAAAGAAGGCAGATTCTCCATTAAGCCTAACTTGCTAGCCTATACCCTAGAACCAAGATTACAATGCCCAAACCATTTGTGCCAAAAGGTTATCATATTCGATTTTATCTCAAAAGCTGGTTAACAAACATCTTCCAAACTTACAAGAATGCTTTTTCTTATCATGGGAATGTTCATAACAAACTCACCCAATGGGTTATAAACAATGCATGATTTATCTTAAAAAGCAAGACATAACCATCATCCACCATTTGGCCTACACCTAAGAGATTTTGACCACTATCAAGAACAAGCAACACTTTTCTAACATACCTAATTCCCAAGGAAGTTTGAATGTTGATTGTACCTTTCACTATTGCTTATAGATACTTGCCATTGCCTATTTTAACATTGGAGCGATACAAAATATCAAGTTCAGGAAAGAGTTCTTTCTTGGGGGCCATGTGATTTAAACAATCATTGTCCAACAACCATTGATTCGAGTTAACTACCTTAGGTTGTTTCAAGGTAATAAACAACTGCTCTTTAGCAACATCAGTGTTCTTATCTGCTTAGGGTGCCTTATCATGCTTCTTTGGTTTAATTTTTTACATAGCGTCTCAATGTAACTTAGTTAGTTACATGCACGACACCTGACATTTGGTCTAAACCAACAGTAGGCCTCTAAATCATTTCTTTTCTTGTAGTGAGAATACATCTGAAACTTTCCCTTTTTCTCATGAGTTTAAAGTTTTTCCCATGCATCCTTTGCTGATTTAGATCCCATTATCATTGTAAATATGGTATCTGAAACAAACCCATGGCTACATGCCAGTGTTCTGAAGCGCTTAGCCACTTCGTCATTGTGTTGTTTGATTTATGTGAGGGTTGCAGTCTCTTTTAAGACAAGCACTTTACTTTCAGATTCTATGACATCGTAAATACAAACCAACCATTCATGAACTAAACAAAAAATTTATAGAAGAACAGGATTTGTTTTGATGAAAGACACATTTTATTCATATAAGACAACTCTATTTATACACAAAAAAAGTAGTTGCATGCATAACACTTGTCAAGACATGGATTACAAGTGTTAAATAATTGCAAGTCTTGATTCAATTAATCAACAAAGTACACATACGAAAACACCAGGCCATGCAAGCATTATTCTCAACACTAAAACCCAACAACACCGGCTAATTTACTTTTCTTCTTTCCATCTACTATTACATCTTCTTGTTTTCTTTTTATCTTTTCATCATTTAATGTAATTTGGTCGAAAGTGTATCTCACCTTAGACTTTGCTTCTCATCCCCTATTAAAGGAAAAAGGGGTGAGAACCCTTTAATTGTTTGGGTGAGATTAGATTATTAAGGTTTGCTCTCAAATTTTTTTCTAATAATAACTCAATTTATATGATAGGAGCAAGATGTGCACACCCTTGAGCATTTGAGATTAACACCATTAGTGAGTTATTGGGGAAATATGAATAAAATTTTTTTACTATCAAGATAAATAAATTTATCAATTGAGTTAACTTTTTGTTGACATATAAGGGCATATTTAAGTTTTAAATGTTTTTATCTTCCATTCATTTCGTAGATTTATTATGAAACTTAAAAATTTTCAAAAATTAGACTAACTTCTCGAGTTCGATATTCAGTTAAATGTTGTCCCCTAATGTTTTTCAATGATAAATCAAATTTTTTTTATTTTCATGAAGTAAATATAGCCATATGGAACTTCTATATGAAGTCGATGATTGAGTCCACAATAATAACCTTGAAAACAATTATTTTTCATAAAATCATCTAATTAATTCAAGGATAAAAGACATGATGATTGATGACGTGGGTGATGACAGGAAAGATGATGATAAGATTACAATTGCAAATATATAATTCTATTTCAAGGTGTAATCACCATCATATGTCCAAACATTGGCACAACTAGTTTTAGTTTACATGAAAGAAAAGAAAGGGAAAGCAAAATTCCAAAATGGAAAAGGAGAAAGCTTGCGCACATGAATTTGAGCAAAGCTCCAAAATTCTTGTTTCCCTGTTGGAGAGGTAATCCAGAATTAAACCATGGCCTCAAGTTGCAGACATGCAGGCCCTCTGATCAAACAAACAAGGACATCATGGCTTCTGTCTGCATTAGGGCTACTTGATTAGGCGGCACATCCACCATCCAAATAAGGTTTAACAACACTAAATTTCAAAAGTTATTTCAAATAATTGATCTTTTCATCTTATCAAACTTCAAAAAGAAAGATCTATGACTCCAATCATTAGTATGACCTAATGACTAAAAGTTGGTTCTTTAATTGACCTTGAAGCTTAGCTCAAACTAAGATTTTACATTGAAAAATTATAATACCCAAACCCCCCAAAAAACCAAAATTAAAGAAGAAGTAAAAAAATTTCCACATGAAAAAGGGCAAAACGAGGAAACTGTCCGAACACGTGTACGGCAAGGATGGTAGTACTCATTGACTGTGATGGATGCCAGATCCATCGTATCTCCTATCGTTTATTATTCACAGTCAAGTTATTATCACAATTATGGAATTATATGGGTGTATTTGTAAATTCGGAAGAATGAGAAGGATGTTTTGGTAATTCAAATCTTCCTTCCATAAATGCACCTTATAAGTACTAGTGGTGCTGAAGGTTGAAACAGTTGAAACGCATTACACCTCCAAAGCCAAAAGGCAAAAATTGATCTTTTTCTTTTTAAGTTTTTTCTCTTCTTCTACTTCTTCAGCTGTTGGCTCTTTCCCCTTTGGTTCACAAAAAGGTATGGATATAATCTTAACATTAATTTCATGAAATATCCAAATGAAAGTAACAATGTTTTTTGATTTCAAACTCTTCTCCTCAACATATTTTCCATTGGGAAAACTTGGTTTTCCCTGTTTCAATGGAAGTCTTTCTCTTTGCATTTTCTCATCAAAACAAGTGATGCTTTGTTTGTCTGATGGTCAACAAAATTGACAGTACATATATTTCAAAAAAAAATAAAATCATTTCGTACTATTAGTTTATATTCATTGGAATTTGTCATATTTAGGAAGTTGCCAGTTCATGTGGCAGCCTTCCTTTACCATACATTTCCTCCTTTTATCATGTACATTTCGCTTATCAAAAAGCTTCAGTTTCTTTTCACAATATATTTTATTTTATAACAATATTCCTTGATCAATGGAAACCGTTTGTTTTTTTTATCACCATGCCAATTCCCAAGAAAAAACTTTGGTTATATGTCCATGCAGCTGTTGTTAATTCCCACATGGAGAAACCAACTAATTCGACGACTTTGGCTCGAACAAAATCCGATCAACTGGTGGAGACTCTGGCGGCCGCCTTCAAGTCACCAACGCAAAGTGATCAGGCACCGGGAACATCTGATAGCGGAGGAACTCTCTCCCGGAAGTCCAGCAGGCGGTTGATGACGGCTGCATCACCAGGGCGGAGCAGTGGGGGTAGCAAGAACATCCACATTAGGAAGTCGAGGAGTGCTCAGATGAAGCTGGACTTGGAAGAATTGAGCAGCGGGGCGGCTCTCAGCCGTGCCTCCAGCGCTAGCTTGGGCTTATCTTTTTCATTCACTGGCTTCACTGTGCCGCCTGATGAGATCGCTGATTCCAAACCCTTCAGCGACGATGATATACGTGAGTAGACATATCTCTGTGCTTTTCCATGCAAAATCTTCTGCTTCAAAATTTAAGTAGCGGTTTTGGATCATTATTAAATTGGATTAATAATTATATAATATGAAGTTAATTAACAAATGAAAACAAGTAAAAACATCACGTAGCTTAAATTATATCGCTTGATCATATATAATAACCATTTGCTTGACTTTATTCTCTTTAAATTGCCTATCAAAAATTAATTAATATAAACATGCATGCTTTCATTTTCATTTAATTTTTTTTTCTAAATTAAAAGTTTTTATTATTTTAAAATCTATTAGGATGATTTAGGTCAGATGTGAGCAACTCCAATTTGATTTTATATGCATGTATTTCTATTTCTATTCAAATATATCATTTTCGTTTTATATAACTCAAATGGAAGTGTTACAACCCTGCTATATAATTTTTATGGAAACCAAAAACTAGGAACTAAGATTATTTCGAACTTTTATTTTTTCTTTTGTATTATAAAAAATAAATATTTGAAAGAAATGAGGTATTTAGGTCATAAAAAGGGGAACCATTATTTTGTCCACAAAAGGGAGATAGAGAGAGTGATGGTTGCGGGGGTCTAAGCAAATGATTGATTTTGGTTAGGCCAAAGAGAGGTTACCAACTTTTCTCATAAGCCGCTAGAAATTTGAAAAATAGGAGAGAAAAAAAAAAAAAAAAACCAAGGCCAGCGGCAGCTTTAGACCTTATAAATTAAAGTGAACATTGAACCCCGAAGTAATGTCAAGCTGGTACAAGATGTGACCTTTTTTTTTTACCCTAAAACTAGGAACCCGTCTTTTCACCCTTTTTATTACCAATTTCACAAAAGGGCTAGTGTTATTTAGCAACATTCTACCAAACCCTAATCCTAAATTCTTAATACTCTCATCTTACAATAGTCATGGTTATTTATTTATTTTTAAGTAAGGAAAGAAATTTGAATTTTATTTTTTAGATATAGAATCATATGTTAATTAATAAATCAAATGTTCATATATGTCATGGTCATCTATTTTAACTATACCTTTTTTTCTATTTCATAAATATTTTTTTTAACTTAATTAATGTTAATAAAGTAATTAGCATCATGCATTATAGAAACTATTATGATGCTTCACATCAGACTCCTCATCAACCGGAGACATCACATATGGTTTGACCACAAAACAAACAAAATAACCAAGTCATCTGTGGGTCCTCCATATTGTAGAAAGATGTACTGTGGATAACATAACATTAAACAATATGATGGAACCATTGGACCCCAGGTGCGTAGAAATTTGCTTCTTCGTTTGATAGGGATCTTACCTTTCAATTTCGTCCATCTCGCCCGCACTCGCTCCACCCAAGTTCGACTTCCAGAACACAGTTCAGACTTCCGGTGGTATTGTCCTGGCTATTGGATTGAGATCCCTCCGCCTTTTTAAGGGACCCAAATTAGTCAATGAATTCATTATCATCTGCTTATATATTGAACAATGAAACAAGTACGAAATAAGAACGCATGACTTGAATTATCAAGGATTCGGCTGAAAAATAGTTCTCCTATACCATTTCTATAATTTGATTTCTCTCTTTATTTCTGATCCTTTATATATATATATATATATATGTATGTATATATATCGCCTAGCTCTACCTTATCCTTATTGCATAATCATCTTCTAGTATGAGCGCAGTTACCAAGGAGAATGGTGAGGAGATATTTTCTTTTTCCTTTTTTTTTTTTTTTGTTTTGTTTAATTTTGTAGCTCAATAATGAGATTCTCTTCTACATAAAAGCTGGTCCCCGAAATAGAAAGTGAAATTTAGAGAGGATTTTAACTTTTACACACGTATCATTGGATAAAAAATTGAGATGTGATTATCAATTAGATTAAGTCCAAATGGGGTCTTACTTGGGTGCAAAGCAGCACGTTTGAGTCATAGATACTTATAGTTATAGCCTCAAATGCTACATAGGTTGCTTGAAACTATGTTCAAGTAGAAACATACTCTATCATTTCAGATACTAATCAATAAATCATCAAACAATATTTACTTAGATATATAAAAAAAAGAAAAAGTCATATTGAACATCAAATCATGCTCTTATGACGTATTGGTTTCTTAAGCAACCAGTGATCTTCATTGCAGCTGAAGATATCGAAGCTGGCACCCATAAGCCGAAATTTCAGACAGAGCCTACTTTGCCAATTTATCTCAAGGTAACGGTTTTTGAACATGCAGGTTTTCCTGTATCCTCCTTTAATCTGCAGCCGCATCTTCAGGTCTTGAAATCTGTGTTTGTTAATGGTGCGTGGATTGATTTGGGTACAATCTATTTGGACAGGCAAGGATGGGGAATTGTCTAAAGATCAACGCGATCCATAGAACATGGCTAGCATGGCCCGGTTCAGTCTTGTACAGAGTCTCATCTTACATGACATTTATGTACAAGACTCTCCCTTCTTTCCAACAAATGAAAAAGATTGCAGAATCTGGTTTAACTGGTATTGAAAATGTTAAACCAAAGTATAAGAGTTGAATATTTTCTTATCTGACAAGTTCTAAAGCATGCATTTAGGCTAGAAAGTCGTCTTTATTTAATGCGTGTCTAGTCTCTAGACTTTGTCCTTGGCCAAATGAGGGCATGAAAGTTACATAAAAGAACCACCTGAAGCACAATTTCATTGAGGAAAGAAGGGTATGGACAATCTGATATATACTACCTTTCCCCTTTTAGCTTTCGTTTTTTGTTTTATTTTCCTCTTGATTAGGGAAAATGAATTGTCATACTGAGAATAATTATATACTTTGAAACTTTTGCTTGCATTGTATTATTTGGTCTACGTACTGGAACTGATAACATTCAGATTATGCAGGATTATACACAAAAGATCTCTTTTGGCTCTCTCTTTAGCTCTATGTAAACACTTACTCGAAATCTCACTTATCAGATTTCATTGTGGAAGAAACAATTTTTTCTGAAGAATTCGCCATGATATATCTGATCCATGCATAATATCATGAAAAATGTATTCCATGGAACTTGGGGTGAATATAACTTACTCAATGAAGGTTCTTATCCCTGTCATGAAATTTGCAGTTCACAGATGTCACTTACAAGGTGATTATCAAAGGTATGACTACTTCTGAAGAGAGGGATATATTGAATGGAATCTCTGGTGCTGTATATCCAGGGGAAGTTCTGGCACTTATGGGACCTTCAGGAAGTGGGAAGACCACGCTTCTTAATCTGCTCGGCGGCAGATTAAATCAGTCTTCTGTCGGTGGTTCAATTACATATAATGATCAGCCCTACTCCAAGTTCCTGAAGAGCAGGTAAGAATCTGAAACTTTGCACACGATTCATCTAATGCAACTTCTGCTGGTTTTGTCAATGTAAGAAGTTCAGGCACCCTTACTTTCCAAAATAACTTTCCAGGTAATTTAGTTCCCAAATCAAACTGCTTCACCTTTCAGCTAATTAACCACGATGGAAGTACGTACATTTTGGTCTTCTACAGACTGCATCCGGCATGATATATTTAACATGTGAACTGCATAGCAAGCTACAATAAGACATCACTAACATGGTATAGAGCAGAAAATAGAAAGAGTTATAACAGAAAGTAATTGAAAACAAAAATCAAAGCAAGAGGGTTAGCATATTTTCAAGTGACTAAGGACTCTGACAATCAGGAATTTAATTGATCATGTCTTGTTCAAAGAATCGCTTTACAAAAGGATTATCAGAAACTGCACCTAGGAGTGCAGTCTGAATAATGAACATTAGAATAACATTAATGGTAAATATGGCAGGATAGGGTTTGTGACTCAAGACGATGTCCTGTTTCCTCACCTTACAGTGAAAGAAACATTGACATATGCAGCCCGGTTGCGGCTGCCGAAGACATTAACAACACAGCAGAAGGAAAAGCGAGCCATAGATGTCATTTATGAGCTAGGCTTGGAGAGGTAATCTCTCTCTTTTCTCCTTACTACTGCTACTGAATCTCAGACTACTTCTAAGCATCTAAGTATTGAAATAACAAGCTTTGTTTATTCAAATGATGTAAACAGATGTCAAGACACCATGATAGGTGGCTCATTCGTCCGTGGAGTGTCTGGTGGGGAGAGGAAAAGAGTTTGTATTGGCAACGAGATCATAATCAACCCTTCCCTTCTGTTTCTTGATGAACCAACCTCTGGCTTGGATTCTACAACAGCTTTAAGGACCGTTCAAACATTACAAGACATAGCTGAGGTTTGACATCCCCAGTTGAAAGTATTTCATTCTTTAACCTTTCTTGAAGACATAGCTGTTAATTTCAAAACCAAACACGTTGGACGAATAAAGCAGTTGACAGAATTGTAAAAAATGCATTTTTTCTGTTTCTAATTTCTTCTGCTCTCTTGGCAGGCTGGGAAGACAGTGATAACAACAATCCACCAGCCATCGAGTAGACTCTTCCACAAATTTGACAAGTTGATTCTTCTTGGGAAAGGCAGTTTACTCTACTTCGGGAAAGCTTCAGAGGCAATTATTTATTTCTCATCCATAGGATGTTCCCCTCTAATTGCCATGAACCCAGCGGAGTTTCTGCTTGACCTTGCAAACGGGAACATAAATGATATTTCTGTACCATCAGAACTAGAGGATAAAGTACAAATGGAGAATTCAGAAGCAGAAACAAGAAATGGGAAGCCACCCCCGGCAGTTGTACATGAGGTAAAGTTCAAATGACTCTAAACTTTACAAGAAATAGACAGAACCTTTTTTCCTTTTTTCAGTACAAGAGGAGCACTATGACTCGAATATAAAGTCTTAACCCAAAACCTTATCAGTCTGAGGGGAGCGCAGGTAAATAGTACATAGACAGCATTTTAAAGGAGTATATATACATAGCTAATTTCTCAAATGACATCAAAACCTCTAATCTGCCTAACGATGCTCTCATCTGAAAGCAGTATCTTGTGGAGGCCTACGAGTCGAGAGTTGCAGAAAACGAGAAGAAGAGACTTATGACTCCTCTTCCCCTAGATGAAGAACTGAAGTTGAAAGTGTCTTCTTCAAAGCGGCAATGGGGGGCAAGCTGGTGGCAGCAATATTGCATATTATTCTGCAGAGGGATCAAAGAACGAAGGCATGATTATTTTAGCTGGTTGAGAATCACCCAAGTTCTTTCTACAGCAATCATCCTGGGATTACTCTGGTGGCAGTCAGATAGTAAAAGCCCCAAAGGCCGCCAAGATCAGGTAAATGGATCATTCTTTTGTCAAAGAAAATGCAATAGTTTGACCACGAGGGATACAACCATCTCAATTTGTCATCACAAAAAAAAAAACCTGGAATGACCATATCATGATTTTTGACGTTGCGAGTTGAAACTTTGCTACTAAAATCATGGAACCTTGCAACCTTGCAGGCGGGGCTGCTGTTTTTCATTGCTGTCTTCTGGGGATTCTTTCCTGTCTTCACTGCAATCTTCACATTTCCTCAAGAAAGAGCCATGCTTAGCAAAGAAAGAGCAGCTGACATGTACAGATTGAGCGCGTATTTTTTTGCTAGGACTACAAGCGACCTTCCACTTGACCTGATATTACCAGTACTTTTCCTACTGGTAGTCTACTTCATGGCTGGCCTGAGACTGAGTGCCAGTCCCTTTTTCCTCAGTATGCTTACGGTTTTTCTCTGCATTGTTGCTGCCCAGGTATGTCCGTTTGCAACTTGTAGTTAGAAAGAAACCATTAACACCATGACCTAATGCAATCTACTATGTCTGGCTGCTTTGGCAGGGGCTTGGACTAGCTATCGGGGCTACACTAATGGACTTAAAGAGGGCAACGACTTTGGCTTCAGTAACTGTGATGACCTTCATGCTCGCTGGTGGCTATTTTGTAAAGGTAGGCAAGCAATGTTGTTTAGAAGTTTAAAACTGCATAAAGACGATCATCAACTTTCTCTCCACACTAGAGGAGTTTAATTTCAACTAGCTGGCAGATACATCTAAGAGCAGAAATATTAACTCATTGCGTATAATTTTGCAGAAAGTTCCAGTGTTCATATCCTGGATCCGCCATATTTCTTTCAACTATCACACCTATAAGCTTCTTCTCAAAGTACAATACCAAGGCATCGTGCCTCCAGTAAACGGGATAAAACCTGACAGTGGCTTGAAGGAAGTTGGTGCCCTGGTAGCGATGATTTTTGGCTACCGACTCTTGGCATACCTTTCTTTGCGGAGGATGCAACTCCACTGTGGAACTTAAAGGAACAACGATTTTGAGGAGTATCCACTGAAAAAAGGGTCCGACTTTCCATTATTTCAAGGGTAATCCTGAAATGCCTGTTCTCAAAGTTGCAAGCAAGGATCAGGAATCAACACAATGGATCCAGCTTGACCTTAAGAATTTGTCAATGTTCTCACATAACAAGCAGGAGCATTGACGAGAATTCCACAACCATATCATAAGCATGTACGTGGATTTTAGTATCTGAAGAATACTTGCATGTGTTTTTGAATGATCAACAAAAACTTTTTAACTCGTGGGTTAGTCTTACTAAAGATAGCCTTTTGATTGTAACCAAACATAATTTATCAATTATCTTTGGAATTTGGTAATCAAATTATCAGAGTCTGGTTATCAACGGAGAGGGGGCTGAAACACTGAAAGGCGAATGGTAGGATTAACTATCTTTTTTCTCCTTCTACAATCAAGATCATTGACTGTAACAATATGCAGTTAGAAATTATGACAATGATTAGAAACATTGGTAGTCACTGTCAGGTGGCAAAGTACAACCTCTGATTAATTACCTATATGCAAGTCGTATACATGAAGGCCACTCAAGTTTTATAGACATATACTTACACCTTGGGATAAGTACAGATAATGATTAATCGCCAAATCTTTTAAAAGACAACTTTGAGAAATATCTTGCCAAGCTTCAGTGGCAGTCCAACTATATATATTCGTCTGAACCTGAAATCAGCACTCCAGGCTATGCTTGTCTAGCAAATTAATAATGGTGTTATGTCTTGTGTCTTTCCACATGTTACCTTATGCCAATGTCCTTAACCAGCCAAGTAATCGAAGAAGAGCAGTGTCTAATATAAGAGACTTCTTCTCAAGCCCTAAAAAGTAAGAAAAAAAAAAAAAGAAAGAAAATCAGCTAATATATAGAATTCACTATCAAGTATAAGAGTGATTAGCAAATAACTGACTCATGTCCAAAGATATCAACCAGGAGGGGAGGAAGAAGAACCAAAGAAGTTGACATTAAATTATATCTTCAAAAGTTTCCAGAAAATTCCCTAGCAGGAGTTCCTGCTTCCTTGGAGGTTGAATGAATATTTCAATTTTAGATATATATATATATATATAAAATACTCCAAAAAGAAGTTGTAAGTACCCTTGTTGCACACATGCTCAAGTCCAAGCAACATAGACTCAATGTAAATTTTCACTTCATATTCATATTTTTATAATTCTAATCTTGCTTAGTCAAAGCTTTAATGGATTCCCAGAAAATTTATTCCTGCTTAATGCTAACTCCATCCTAGTCTGGAAAGATGCATCTTACCAATATCGGCAGCAACCCTATGAGCACACATTACTCCTGAAAAAGCAACTGCTATAACACCTTGTCCTGGAAAGCAGCTATCTCCAACACAATAAAGACCACTTATACCCTGCAAATTATTATTGTATGGACCATCCAATTAGCAGCAAGCTTATATGTTTACTAAAAACTAATAACTACTCAAAAAATCTACCGGAGGTCACTATAAGACTCACTGTTGTATTGAACGGCATTCCCAATAAGCCCTTGGGAATTTTACGAGGCATTGGTCCATAAGTACCCATGTCCCGAGCCAAGAACCGCCTGTGTGTCTTTGGGGTCCCTACCTACAGTGATTTCAAAACATTTCATAAATGGAGAATCCAAATTGTTATGACTGTATAGTGTATAGTTTTATTGACTCTATGCAGAGTGTGCACTTATGAACAAACTGACAATCATGTGAAAAGCCAGTTTTGTTCAGTTCACCACGGAATTTGGCAGCAGAAACATATAAACTTCACATTAAAATATAGGAATGCTTAACAAAACTCAGGAAAGCTTTAATCCCCACAGTTTGAAGCTAGGCAAAAATCCATTTTCAGTTTTAGGAATAGTTACTCTGAACTACCCACATCTTTTAAGTTGGCACTCTGCAGTGCATAGACTTTTTTGTTTCTCCTTCTCTTTTCTTTAAATGAACACTCTGCATGTGGGGGCCATATTTTGATAAAGTATTATAAAGATAAGCATATACCTCCTTAAAAACAATGGATGATTTAAGCCCTGGAAATAGTTTCTTCTCCAACCTCCCAACGATTTCCTCTGCAATTTGCTCCTTTTTTGCTTCATACTCCTTTGGAGGAAGGCCCTAGAACAACCAAAATATTAATATCAACAATAATAATTCAAGGAGCCAAAAAAATTAAAAATACAACTGTAATGCAACTTGGATATAGGTGAGGCTAGGACAACAGGAGGAGAGGAAGGGGGAAGGGTTCAAAGTGGGGAAATTTAATATTTACTGTCGCTTCTAGATTTTATACATGGCCTGAGCTTACCTCCCAATCTTCTATGGAAGAAGTTGTAAATATGTGAAGAATATGACGCCCTTTTGGAGACAACGATGAATCAAGAACAGTTGGAATGCTTAAAAAGATACTCCCATATGGTTCCTCTAATCTTGTCCAGTCATCCTTTAAGTATGGAAGGAAAACATATATGCGATGAACTATCAGCCATTACATGCAAAATTGCTAAAAAGATTTGTACTCCTCAATTCTGTGTGTGTGAGTATGCAAGAGTGAAGCCAATAAGAAACAAAAATACCTCGAGCACAAAATGATGACAATCTGTATCTGGAGGGAGAACATCAGCCTTAACACCCATGTGAATTGAAAGAAATGATGGAGCCTTAACATAAACTTTCTGAAAATTTTCTTCTTCTTTTGGAAAGTTTTCTCCTTTTAACAGCTTCCCTACATAACAATGCATTGCAATTCAGTCATTTTACAATAGACCTGAAGAAACCAGTGCAAGAAACCTAACCAGCTCCTTCCCAAAACTAACCAAATGTATCCCATCTAGTAGCATTTGATATTATGGTTCTAGCGAAAAACTCCCTTCCATCTGAAAGCCTCACTCCCACCTACAGAACTCAATCCAAAATACTATAAGCAATAAATTATGGCTACCACATGTAGAACCATCAATTGTACAACTTTTGACATCAATTTATGCAAGGTATTTCAAATCTACGAACAAACTTACAGCTTTGCCCTGGTCAAGTATAATGTTAGTCACATTTGCCCTGTAAAGTATTTCACTACCCTGATCAATCAGGCCTTCAGCTAAAGACTGCGCAATTCCACCAACACCACCAACAGGATAATTAATTCCTCCAAAATGCCTGTCACATAGAACCTGGCACAAGCTATGGATGAGAGAGAAGTTAATAACACAGAGAAGAGTGGCTGAATGCTAATTGAACAGCTTACCATGCCTGCATTGATCATTGGTGTCCGCAAAGCATTAACTGTGCTCACTATGAAACACTGCAGAAATACTTCAATATTAGTAGAAAACCTTGCAATAAATATTATCTCTAACCCTCATGCTCCTTTTTCCCTTTTTTAGGATAATTGGGATTTTGTCACACCTCTGCATCTATGAAAGACAACAACTGGGGATCCTTCATGTACTTTCGAGCAATATCTCCAGCGTTTTGGGGCAGATAATAAGCTGTAGGCAACAGTACATCAATTAATTAGTTCATAATAGCTTTAAGAGGAAAATGGGAAGGTCAAAAGCAGTAGGAATTAATAATAACATGATTACGCACTTAATAATTATATAAAATCTCAACATTCAGGACAGCCTACCAGAAGGGTATAACACAACATAAAAGGCATAATTTTTACCTAAGAGTCCCAAGATTGAGACCAAAGTGCAATGATTTTAACTTTAAGAGTCTTAAGATTAAAAAAGCCAACAGCACTATTTTATCAACCATCGAAGATCATGTTTTGATCAAAATCCTTGTTGAGTCGGAGAAGTTTGCGAGAACAAATTTTAGGAGGGAGAAATTCCATTAATGCAACAGTTATAATCATTTTTACACCTGGAAGCGGTGGCAATGGATTTTTAAGCTGTATTTTTTTTGTTTTCTTTTTTCTCTGCTAATTCTTATTTTGAAAAACAAAAAGTACAGTATACTTTAGAGATTCACTTATCCACTTCCCAATCAAGAATGTTGTTTTCCTACAGATTTCTCATTTCTGTGATACTAAATATGTCCTGACACTACAGATGTCCTCAACAGAGTCATAAAACTAAATTCACAATCAACTCCATTGCTATAAACTATTTAAAAATTATTATAAAATTTTCACACCAAGTACTTAAATATTTAGCAGTAGTTACCGAGTGTCAAACATTCAAGAGGCTTCTGAAAGAACTGTCCAAAAAGGTAGATTGGCTCCTCAAGTGACTTCAATTGCAATGAGTTCAAGGCATTGAAGATCTAGCCAACATGTGTACAAGTTCTTAAAGTGAGTAAGGAACTAAAGCGTACAGTTCAGAAAACACAGGAAGCAGCAGTCACCTCAATCAGAACAGACCTTCCAACATTCGCCATAGAATTTGAGGATCCCTTCCTTCTCATGTGGAAATCTACTAGTAAGTTCCTTGATAAATTCACTGTATTCTTTATGTACTCGAACAGAAAGGTTATTTGGTAGATGGAAATGGACTGTGGTGGGATCAGGAATCACCTCCATCTCACGGCCAACTGCTGCTAATGCTTGAGTTATCAAATTGAGATTACCCTGCCAAGAATTCAAGCACACATCAACAGAGGAAAATTCAACATTGAAGATGTTACTAATAGCTCAGTATACTTTAGCCCTTAGTGAGTAAGAGAAAAAGGAAAACCAAGACAATTGTAACATGCTTCAACTGCCAAGATTTTTTCTCCCTTGCACTATGAAAACAATATGGTGTAAAAGACTCTCTCTGTCTCAAATAGAAAAGTAAATCTGGAAAAAAGACACACTTCTCTTGTTGATTTTCTCCAATTGTCATTACAAACAGTAAGCATCCTATGAATAAAGAGCACAAAGACCTGTTAAGCAGTAAGTTTCAGTCGTGTTTGAATCCATTTATGTCATGTAGAAATAGTGTGAATATTTATCACCCAATACCCTTCGCAAGATCTACTGTTTTTACTTCATGCAGAAGTATGGCATTTAACAAATATCCATGTAAATACAGACAATCCTGCAACTTCAGTTTAGCAAGCAGTCAATGATAAAGTTTAGAGTTCTTTACATATTGAATCACGAACAACTTACAGAACTAAATATTTATTTATTTTACTACTAATAAATTGACATATTACCAAATAAAAGATCAAAGACTCCGGTTCTTCATAATTGTTTGGCATACACACAGTGACGTTTTCTTTAAAGTACGCGAACTCACCAAGGACCAAGCTTCCACCTTTTTTTTTCTTTTTCAAACAAAGA